TATCTGTTGTTATGGTACTGTCCTTACAATCACTAACAATATTTCTTGTTTAGCTGATTCATCATACCAGACATCACTTGCTAAACCGTCCACCCTTTCCATCAACTTACGAGCAATTCGGGCGAAAAAGACAGGAAAGAATGAAAATATATCATTAAAGTAAAACGCCATTTCCTGGAGGTTGAAATTAATGATATCCTGACTTCCACCTCTCTCTTTGATCCTTCAAGATTTAGTAAAAAATATCAACAAGAGAAGAAAATAAGTTGCAGTTTCAGTGGCCAGATGTTACTTGTCTGGGTACCTTGTTGTGTTAGTGGCAGCAAGAAGAGCTCTGTAATATTCTCTTTGTATTTTTGTATTTCCATGTACCTGTCCTGTACTCCTATTTCTGCCCAGTTTCATGTAATATCCAATTCTCCATAAAAGGCTTCCCTCAACAAGTCAACAGATGGTGTTTGACTATTATTATTGTTGTTGTTGTTGTCATTATAACCATTTTCAGTACTACAATACTCATACAAATACACCAATAACAAGAGGATAAATATTTTACTATAAATGTGAAGTAAGAAGCCAGGTTTATATTACCTACATGTAATTATAGTAAATAGCACACAGAGTTATTCAGGCTATTAACAGTCCATCCATCCTGTTTCTCAATTCTTGGCAAATGGATTTACACGTGAGATCCAGCTACCTTCAGATGGGCTGCAACAAACAAAATCAACAGTCATTTCTTATACCATAAAATATAACAGCAATATATTTAAATAAAAGCCTAACAAATAGTAGTAATAGTCTGGTATACATGCTCAAAAAAATATCTTTGTAATTTTGTGTTAGAAAGTACGACACAATGGACTAGTGATTTTGACAACCCTACCGAGACAACAGGAATCACGACGTTGGTTTTGAAATTCGTCGGACCCCTCCATAAAGATACTTTTGGAGCGTGTGCAGTACATATAAACGAAGAGCTATGGTATAACACATTTTATACCAATCCCATTATAGTGTAGCGTGGTAACCACAATGAGAGATAGGTGGTAACGTGGCTGGTGGTCAGGTCAATGCAGTCACAACAGAGTGCGGTACTGCCTGGCTCACGGGTTCCAACTCCTGAGCTGTATCATCCCAAGAGTAATGACTAATAATAAATGATATACTTAACCACTTGTGTATAGATAGAGAGATAGATAGATAGATAAATGTCAAATAACTCAACAGGGACAAAGAATTGAGACAAAAGTGAGGAAAGTTTAAGCGTCATTCTTACCTTTCTATCTTCTTCTGCTCCTCCTCCTCTTGTTTTTCCTTCAGGTACTCAATGAACTCTGCTCTAAATGAGTTCTTGAGAGGCTGAGGGACATTGGCTCTGTCTTCAATAAGTTTCTGTTTAGTAGCCGCTTCTTTAGTTGTCAGGCCAAACCAATCTGCTTCTTCTTCCTAAAAAAAAAAAATGTAGGATCAACAACTTATCTATAATTGTGTTTTTGTACATTCTAAAATAAAAACAAATGAAGAATTAAACAATAATAATAATGTTATAGTACTGTACAATATTTCCAATTTATATATATACTGTATGCACGATATCAAGTTTATTTATAATCAACAAGGAGGGGATTACCATAAGAGACCTCATCTATCATTTCTGCAAACACCCAATTTATGTACAATATTTCTGATTAATTATAATTTTTTCCATTTTTTTTCCAAACTTAATCAACAATTACTCTCTAGATATTTCTAAAGTCAATCAAATTCCACCAAATTTTACAGAAAAAACACTAAAATTCCATAACATACAATTCATTACAGTTTGGCTGATGGCCTAATCAAAAGGTAACTGACTCAGAACACAACAAAGGAGATCAAATAAGGTAGGATCCATCCCCTCCAGGTACTGTACATCTACTCACAGGAATAATGTAATCTTTATACTTGTCCAGTATTTCCTGCTTTTTGGCTGGGTTGTTGGGATACAGTGTCCCTCTCACCAACGCTAAGAGCATCTCTCTCCTTAGCTTGAGGGCCAACTCCGACATTAAATCAGCTGGAGAGGTCTGTAAAATAGTTCAAGTCACTATGGCAGCATAAAACCCAATATCAATCCACAGAAAAAATTAACACAGGTACAGTAATACATCTACGAGTATCTCACAACTCAGTTACAGGTTGGTTAGCTTAACTTAGGTATAGTATCAAGGAAAGGAAACTGCACATGGATATAGTTTCATAATACATTGTTATTTACCTGTAATATATAATAATCTAATCCATAATGTTTGTCAATCAGGGAGAGGGCTCGTTCTGTGACGTGAACATTCATGTAGCGGTCGAGGATTTCCGAGTAAACCACCGATGTCTTGATGGTGGGAACCCAGTAGTGGGGAACACGCCTCCTGGTCCTGCAGAATTATGAATGGAAATAATACAAACTAATGCCCAAAAAATGCCATTTACCAAGGTACAACTACTGTACACTGTAGATTAAGTGATGAAATTAATAATGGCCGAGAACTTTGTGTATGAGTTACAGTGTGTCAAACTAAATAACTCACTCACTCTAACAATGCATAACATAAAAATGAGTAATATATAAACATAAATACTGTACTTTACAAAGACAAATATGGTACAGTACTTCAATTACAATTGCACATTCTAACTGCTTTCTTAAATGTATTCTGGCATGTCGTTCTTTTGTACTAAATTATAATCAAGAAGTAACTTACGGATTCCTCTTAAGAAAGCCCTTGACGATGGCCTCTCCGCCCCATATACCCTCGTGGAGTTCCTTGGGCTGCAACAGCAAAAGTGGAACATTTTGCACCGCTTGTCTGCAAATGGTGAAAGAAAAGATAATAAAATTGTGCAAAACAGAGAGAAATCATACACAATACACGAGGCCCCTGTGTAAATATGGTGGCAAAGGTTATCAGTATAGCTACCATCCTCTTACCCACCTCATTCTTCATCTTAAATTAGCTAACTTTATCATCACGATTATACTCATGCATTAAACTGTTTTTATCCATTAATAAATTACAGTATATGTGTCACTTACACTGATCCATTTCCATATCTCCTAAACAAGCCTTTTCTAGGAACATAATGAACCGGTGATTTGGGCGCACACTTCCACTCCCAGTAAAACTTCTTGTAGTGTTCTGGGACTCTTCCAATGTAACTATCCAATTGAAAGAGTCTTATAGCGTTCCATGGCTTGGTCAGGCTTTCACGGATGGCTGCTGCTGAGTATCTTGAAGCCATCTGAAAAATAAACAAATGAATTAATATAAAGAACGAAAATTCCAAAATGTGATAAATGCATTCCTGGGTAACATGTGGACACTCAAAACCATAAATACTTGATTAATGCAACTTAGAGGAAAGATATATGATGATAAAAGACACCCTTCAAGGCTTGTGAGTTTGTAAGAACCTATTTTTTTTCCTAAAGAGGAGTCAATACAGTACAGTACCAGGTAACTAGTACTGAACTGTATAATCACCTAAGCCACTTAGTTTTGACTGATTTTCTGAGAAAACAGCATTTTATGTATATACGTAAATACCACAAGCATTACATTTTTTTTCACTCGTGTTTTTCTTCCTGATAATAATCTACGTCCATCCAATGATATTTTTGTGCTTAATCTGTTGTCATTTTCTACATATGATCTCAGCGACGTTTCTAAACAACTGCTTACAGCAACTGATAGTGTAAAGATATCATTTATCGGAGGAAGGATGAATCAACGGGTCCGACTAATTACCCAAATGTAGCCAAATATAGCCGGAATGAAGTCAAATAATGGTCCTAGATGAATAAATCGGACTGCCAATCACTTCTCGACTAGTATTTGGTGTCAGAAAGTCACAAAAAATTGGTAAACTTAATTTAATCTGAGTTAATAGATCGAGTGCATGTACCTAACCTAACCTAACCTAACTTAACACAACACAACTCAGATTAAATTAAGTTTACCAAATTTTTGTGACTTTCTGACACCAAATACTAGTCGAGAAGTGATTGGCAGTCCGATTTATTCATCTAGGACCATTATTTGACTTCATTCCGGCTATATTTGGGTAAGTAGTCTGACCGCCCTACCTACCCTGGTGGTGATACTTTAGGGTTATGCCATCCTCAAGTACAAGTCATATACTAAAACGATAGTCCATAATAATAGAAACTTACATTATATTATTGTGTAAACTGAGGCACTAGTCAGAGCCTCCAGCCGTCCTCCCTGACACAAGGCTCGGCCGGTCGGCACTTAACCCAGGATTGATAAAGATAGATGGATAGATTATTAATTATTCAGTATTAGTCAGTAAGATCATCACATAAGTTAATATTTATTTCTAAAGTATATGGTTATATAAGGATTAAATTAACATAAACAATAGAACGTTTACATTATAATACCTTTAAAAGATGGTCTGTGTAGGGGGTGGAACTGAACCTTTATATCTAAAACAAATAATTATAAAACCAATAAAAAATAAATTTATTATAATCAATAAGTTAAATATTAACAAACTTAAAAAATAGACAAAAATAAAAGACTGTAAACAAAGATGACTAATTCATTCACATCTGGCGAAGACAACAATTATATTCCTCTAGTTGAATCGTTTGTGTCGAATTCACGGTATTCAAAGTAAATTATACCAAAATTAGGTAATTATTAGTTAAATTTATTGTTAATATTTGACTTCACAGATTTATTTTCTTTATTCTTGAAAAAAATACGAAGTAGCTTTTGGGAGATAGTAACAAGGGAAGGAAGATGATTCATGTTGAAAATGTACTTCGAATTTGGCTTCCTTTTTATTTTTAAAGATAAAATAAACTTAACCCAACTTAACTTTCCATGGCATTACCTAATGATTCTAAGAAGATTTTAGGTTATATTAAGTTAGACTATATTAATTTATAACACTTGAACAAACTAAGAGTAGTGGTTCCGTTCGTAGTATTTCTTCAACAAGGATGACTCATGGAGGGGAGGGTCGACCTGTAGGTGTCAAGTGTTGTTCAACTTAACTATTCAATAATTATGGCTGAAGAAGCGATGTTTGACTTTATTCACATGGAAGCTGTGTCTTATGTCTTTCAAGGAGGTGAAAAAATATCAGAAGTGAGTTTCTTTGTGTTGTTTTTAATGAGAAATAAGTGTTGAATCATAACTTTCTTTAACCATATTAAACTGATAATAAGTCTCATTAAATACTGTTCCGTAAAATAAAAAAAGTAGGATAGAAAGAAAAAGTTATAGTAGAGAATAGGTGCATGGCTCAACGTACTGTAGGACATATACTAGAATATAATGTTTTATAAAATCAACTCATCTAGACTATTACCAGAGAAAAGTGATCATAGGTGTGAGTCATGGGAAGGCGCCACGGTAAAATTAAACTCTCAGTCATCATTATGTTTATCCGATGGTTTTTGATGTATTTTGAATGATTTTGATCTAACCTAACCTAACCAAACCAACCTAGCCACAGAACCTTTCAATCCTGGGAAGTTTGGTCAGATAAAGGTAGGTTTGGTTTATCTTAGCTTTAACAAACCATTTATGTCACTCGGAGAAAAAAGTATTTGTAGCTAAGATGCAAAACGCTGCTTAAGCAAAATGACCAAATTAATGGTCCGAAAATTATGGAAAATCATCGTTATTATTTGGTGTTTTAAAAATTATTACTGATAATTTCATATAAATAATGTAAGCTGCTGCCAATTTTTATTTTTTTATTTTCTGGAAGTGTTAATGTTCGTGATATATCGTTTGTCTCTTGCAGCACACAACAGTACCGAGGATAAAACACGTGAAACCAAAAGTAGGAAAATCTGCAGTTCCTCCACCCAGTCTGTAGATAATTTCCCTAAACTAACTCCTTCCCATGAGTCTGACATCTGAAGTATTACTGTGGTTATATACAGCGGCACCAGTAATGGTTTGTTTATAGAACACTTGTGACTCAGATGCTAAGTTTAAGGATGTAAAATGTATATAAACAGTGACAAAATTATGCAGCTCCATTTTTCTTTTGAGACTCCCACACTTTATCGTGATGACATCAGAAGACACAAAACAAACTCAAACCTAACCTTCCCAGTATTAGGGTGTTTATTCATAAGGTGAAAGAAGCCTGGGGGTAATTATAAAGTGAGCTGCTGCTTATATAATTTTACCTTTGTCTAAATATAGCAATGAGTATTATTTTCTGAAGAATAAAGAATCAATTTTTACATTTATCACCCACTTAGGATGAAGCCATCTCAAAATTGGAACACATGGGTTTTGCCACCGGCTATAGACTTGTTGAAAGGTAGGTCTATGGAGTATGAACCCTTGTTGAATAGTATATATGTGTCTGTATATTTATGTTCATTAAATAGTTTCTCTCTTAACTTTCACAGCAAGATGGCTTATTTAAGTAGCTACTCCAGGGTCTCGGTGACTAGCCATATGAGCCACACTCCTAGATGGTTCCAACTTAACCTATGGAAAGTTATCGATCTGAAACCAAATACCTTAACTGTCGTTGGTGTTAATTATGGTACAACTCATTTTATCTTTCATCTTGATGTGAGTTTTGAGAAGCAACTTGTGTATATACCCACTAAAGCCCACAAGTTTGGGAGCTAATGAAACTTTAACTCAGTGTCTGGACCAACTCAAAGCTCACCTAACTAACCCACAGCAACCTTAGCCCTTAAAATATACAAGTATTGTAGTCCCTGGTTTACGAAACATTGGTGTACGAAAATAGTTATGAAAAAATACCAATACCTTGATTGACGAAGAAAAACCTCTATATATATATATAATTTTTTTTTACACTACTGTATATGAATTAATTGATGTAGATAATGAACTGTGCATGAAATATAAATTCACTAATATAAAACCTTCTCACCCGACAGACTAACGAGAGAGTCAGGACGGTACAAAGATGAGCTGGACATCATGAAGTATATATGTAAGGACCTCTGGGTAACTGTATATAAGAAACAGATCGATAATTTACGAACGAATCACCAGGGAGTTTATGTCCTCCATGACAACCGATTCCGTTTTCTCTCACACATGGCAGCAGGGAAACAGTATCTTCAATATGCTCCCAGAGTAAGTGGAAGCATTATAGATGTACAATATCTTCTGGAGAATAGTGATAGCTTAGAAACTTGGAGTAACGAGGCATTTTCAGGGGCGACTTTCGGATTTTTTTTTCTGGAAAGTGAAAACTAACGTGCTTATGAAAAGTTAGAAAATATATATAAATGGGGGGGGATTAAAACCGACGGGCACAAATTAATTAACGTTTTAAATATTCTAAAGGGTTTTTTTATTACAGGGGTCATTAATAAACTAGATGTATAAGTTTGATATATATTTTATTATTTATTAAAGTTTTCCCTTACAGTATCTCGCCTTCACTTGTGGACTTGTACGAGGGTGTCTGGCTAACCTTGGGGTCACGTGTGTGGTCACAGCAGAGGTCACACAGCTCCCGGCTTGCAAATTCCAAATTCAAGTTCAACGGGGATGAATCCTCGGTGGCGGATATTATTGTAATATATTATGGACTTAATGTTATTCTTTGTACATGTATTGACACTTTTAACTTGTATGTTTAAAAAAGTAAAGGAGTATTGTTGTATTCACCGTCTTTATATTAAAATATATAATTAATGAAATACCCATCATTGTTTTTATATTCTCCCATACAATAGCTGATTCTATATGGGTCTAAAAATGATTACTAGAAGCTTGTGGCTCTAGTCAGGTGGTATGTAACCTTCATGGTCAGCTGGATGTCCCTGTACCGTACTGATGGTCCAAGGGTCATTGATGAGATACGTAACTTTTGGTGCATTAGCAAGGAAGATATTGGGATGTGGTGATACTATGATTTATTAGTATAAGATAATCTGCTTATAATCCAGTTATAACAATTCCCAGCTTCCACTACATGAAGCAAATTACTTTTGTGAAACAAATGAAATATCCACTCTGCAATGATCAATGAATCACAAAATACTGTTTTGTAACTACTCAGTATATTTACTAGAAACTCTGCTAACTAACACTTAATTATAGTGTACCTAAAATTCACACACTAAGAAAATCCTCGCCTTTGTTTTTCTTATAACATCCATCAGTTTTATCATCCCATTATAAATATATCGGTTCTGGCTGGGAGACGCCTCAATCAATAGACAGAACAACACATTAATTATCTAGTCTTTCCATTTTTTTTAACTTATTTTTACACACAAGACAGAGAGAAGTTAGCAGGATGAAAATGAGGTAATCAAATATTGTGAAACTTTTGTCTACATTCATTGTTTTATTCATACATAATAGTTTACAAAATATTGGTATAACTTTTGGCTACTAATTTTTTTATTACTTTATGTAAATATCACTTCATGTACACAGAAGCTACAGTAATTACAGTAGTGTGGTCAACATGAATACTGGGGTAAGAGGAGGCACAGTCTGAGGAGTGGCTGTGATAGTGTATGTTTAGGGTTGCTGTACAGTGTTAGGCCAGAAAACATATACACCTTACACAATAAACTTTAAGAAGCCACTTTATCTGTGTAGTGTAAGTTGGAGGTAATTTTCGCTTGCCCAAATATAAACCATATTTGACCCACAATTAGTAATACAAAATAAAAGTTTTACTAACAATTATGTACAGTACTATGTTCTTTAATATTTGTAATGGATGAGAAATCACATTTTGGAGTTTGTATTTGCCTTAAGCCTAATTTTGGAGAATAAAGATAAGTCATAGTATTTACGAAAATACCATTTGCTGGTTTCCTCTGGAGGATGTACAGTTTAGTTAACCTAAAATAGATGTATCTGTGATCAATATTAGTGTCTACTACCTGATGTACTATGCTGTACAGTATATAATTTATCCTTACCCACCCAATGCTGTACTGTATAGCCTAACTTAGTTCAGATTAAGTTGGTTTCACTAGCCTGATAACGAAGTTTGCAATATCTGCTAAACTGTCTTGTCATTGCAAGATGATAAACTGCTTTTACATTTGGGGTAGTAGCAGAGAGCATCTCAGTCCCTGTTAGTCATCAACTAAAACAGTTTACAACTGTACGTCACCAATAATCCTTTCCTCACTTCCAGTTTCTTCCTTCTCTACAGTTTAGCACTATATACTGTAGTACTGTATAATACACCTTGTCCTTAGGCTATGTTGGCCACATATGGGCCTCTAACACTGGCAAATCAAATTTTTCTTTGACAAGGTGCAAGGATTTCATAAAGCATCAAATAACCGTTTTAGCCAAATTTATGTGTTTTTATTGCTAACAAATGTATATCTCCTTTTACATAAATATAACATCAGAGGTGTGTGTGTGTGTGAATCAATGCATAGTAACTACTTTTTTCTCTGTTCACAGTTTAAGCAGTTTACTAATATTTTAAAATAAAAGGTATTCCTATGATATAAACTAATAATAAACCGTATTGTATTCATGACAATATTAATAACTCGGATACAAAAGTAATTGTTACGTAACTCATGTACAGGAAGAACATAAATCTATCCAATAATAATTATCCCTGATTCCATACACCCAGGCAATCATTTTTAATCCACTGTTGTTAAAACACCTGAGAACAGCCCAGCACCTCTGTTATAATGGTACAGTATACGAAGGCCCGGGTGTTCAAAACGAGATCATTTTGCTCTGTTAGTTTGAACTGGGTTACCTTAGTAAGTCATGTTGAACATGACATTAAATCATGAAGGTTTTTTTATGCATACTGAAAATTTTATATAAACATCACCAGTCACATTACTAAGACATCAGATCAAGTGCTTTTTATGTCCTGCCAAAGGGGTGCAAAGTTTTTAAGTTGTGTGTGTGATTAAGTGTATTGGTGTCCAGAGTTGACACCAGGAGGGAAGGACTAGATCTCTTGCTCTCCAAGTCTCCAGCCATTATTTTGTAACAAATTTATGGATGTTCATCCTGAAACACTGAGTCATTAGGAAGGTCTGCAGACCATCATGTATGAGTGACTTTCTTCGGCATTCTCCAGTTTGACATGTCAAACATTTTCTGTTCATCACCTCCAAAATAATTTGATGAACTCCATTCATACTGAAACTATGTGGATACAGTAACTAATTTCCAGGAACCAGTATCAAAATACTTTATTAATTTTCTGTAAAGTTCTGAACACTCATTGGGCACAGTCTGGCTAATGTCTCTAAATCCATCAACAGATCTTTAAACTGTGTTCAATGACCACAGTTCTAGTTTTATTGACTACTATGTACTGTACTGTACTGTAGTCTACTTCCTACATTTAATAGAAGATTGCCATAATGTCATTAAGTGCGACACCTTATAATATTCAATACATTTGCAACAGAATACAACAAATTACTTTGGCCATGATGACAATGATCACATTACTTGCTTGCAAAAACGAATGTGATTAAAAACACGGAACACACCCGTAAGTTTAAAACATGCCAGTACAGTATGTGAACACCAACAACAAAGTGCATCTCTGACGTGGCTCCAACACAAGACTTAACATTGATGCAGATATTGAGGATAGTAGAACAGTTCTTCCTCCACAATCAGAGAGAAGCAGGAAGTGGTTAATACTCTCAAAACATGACAGAGTTTGAGACTAGCAGACCAACAAGGTGTTAAGAGAACAGCACAAACAGAGATGCCAGAATGGAGAAATGTCTTTCTTCCTCATAAACAATTACAAGTGTAACATAAGGCAAGACAGCACGATTGTAAGAATCTGCTAGGGAGCCTCCCCTGAGAAAAAGAATAGGATGCATTCTAGCATATGATTGGATTACTACAGTACAGTATAAAGTAGAGTATGTCTATTAAGAAGATAAAGTTGTGTTGAACTCCCAGTACCTCCATAAAATTTGTTAAGAAAGCAATCATTTTCCTTTTCATAAAACAACTTGGTTTCAAATAAATTTCGTGACTGGTTGTAAAATCAGACATGTATTTTAACCTACAGATAAGCAACTCTTTATATGTATACAAGATTAGTCCTCCTGTATGTATGAAGCCAAATAGAAATCCAAAAGTGAAAGAAAATTATATAAAATATGAAAGGAAGATAAATTAATACCTGGTAACATAACATTAATCCTCTATAAAAATATATAAAGGAAACACCTGCCATACAAAAACTTTTATTAAACAAACACTGCAAGCCATTATTTCATATCTAAATTGGAGAAGCTCACACACACTGTTTTTGATGAATGGGAACAAGCTTTGCATATCACAAGTAGTAATTCATATATGGAGAAAAACAGCTGGAAAATCTCTGGGTTAAAGCTAACTTCTCTATAAGATAAAATGGTCAACATTGAGAAGTGAGTCACATTGATCTGTAATCAAACTTCTAAATGTTTCTTCAAATGAAACTGTTCCTTTGCCTCTTTCCATTCACCTACATATCTGATCATTTACTTTTAAGAAAACTGGAACTGCTCTATTTTGCCTGCTTCTTTCATCAATCCAACACTAAATTTAAAAGATTTAAGTTTTTAAGACAAACACATCAAACCCACATTGGCTGAAGTTAAAATGCAAAAGACTTCAATACATTATCATACAAGGTTAATATTACCATTCCCTGATTTCAAAGTAATGCTGACAATAACATATTGGATCTCATGGCTTCAAGAACTTCACTTGAGGTTCTGACATCTGGAAAATGGCAAAAAGGAAAAGGATCTTTTAATATACCCTGAAGTTACCCACACATTTAGTAAATATTGCTTCTATTATCCTTTTACAAAACTATATACACGGTGTAATGGATATATGACAAAAAAAGTCCGGAAAATGACTAAAGCTAGTTTCACAGCACCATTTGCTTCCATATAACTTGATTCAGCTATCATGGTGTCTGATACTGTTAAACAAAATGAATCAAGCAGAGTTCCTGTGATATTAAGTGGCCAGTGTGAGGTGAAGAGTAACTACCTTCACCACCGCCAAACTGACCAAATAATGTGATGGTTAATCTGTTATGTTAAACACCGGTGACTCGTCTAGTTGGCTTCACTCCACTGTGTCCCACTCCTAATGGTTAAGAAAGATTGTGGTATTCTTACACTCAAGCCCATAACACCTGCAACCACGAACATTAACACACCCAACTTCAAGACACGTGTGTGGCAAATGCTAGCAGTACAGTACACAGAGAATGGTATATTATTGTCCTAAGCTGCAACACTGTAAGGGTTTATTGCCAAGCACTGCAATTTTATTCAATAGCACTGTGTACAATGATGCATCAAGCTACAAAGTCAGCTCTAACTCAGGAAGTTCCAATTCTGTACATGAAAATCATGTCTAGTTAGCTCTATATATATCTAGCCTTCTGCATTATAAAAAGATACAATGGTTATGAACAACATTATGTGCAGCTCTCATACCGCCGCACCCAATGGCATCAGCTGCATCATAAAACAATCACTCTGTCCCCAATGATTATATTTAGGATAGCTAACTACAGTACTACAGCTCAATATAGGTGTGTTAGTCTACCCAACTTAAAGTATCATCAAAACAAAACAAAAAATTCAGGTCCAAAAATAATACGGTAATGGGGATTTAGAGGTGCTCACATCCTCAAGCTCTTGGTCGGTCATACTGTCATGGCTCACTACAGTATATGATTATGATAAATAATCTTTTAATTAGCTGATGATCGCATTTTTCTTGCACGAAGTAAACAATGCTAATGTTCCCAAGAGGTCCCTATATGAAACCAAGAATCTCTCAAACAGAAAACACCAAAAATTATAAGACAAATCAGTATCAAAGTTCACTCACAATATATACAAAGAAAATGGAGGGCAGGACAGCAAGCTCCTCCCAGGCTAAGCACATCACTTCCTTTTTTGTTCCTCATAATAATTTACATTGCACAATACCCTTCATCTTCAAAACATCATCAATTAAAAGTCCTTCAGTTCCTCAAACTAAAATAATTTATATGACACCTTAAAGTCCGTTATGTTGATAATTAATGATATGGCCGAGCATTGAGCATGCAACTATGAACTTAAAACAGAAAGCAGGAATATATACTGACATTGGCACAGAGGATTGTCAATAACCTTCAAGTGCTAAAAATCCTCCACAGAATGAAACATGTCTTCATCATCAACAACAACTTCCCTCTGCGCCATCGGGTGGGAGGACTCCAGAGACTCGGGTTGTACGACGCCCGGTAACCCAATCACAGTGCACCATAACACAACACTTAATAAATACAGAGCAAAATCTTCAATGAAACACTTAACAATGGTGAGTAAATGAGCATAAGCAACAACTGTACTCTGGCGGACACCACACAGCATGAAAGCAATACCCATGAGACCGGCTCCACTCCTAGAGCAGGCATGAATGGCATACCTCTGACACCAAAGATGATGAGCCTCCCAGAGTATGAACGGGATCGAGATGCTATTTGACACGATATACCCAAGGTTGAATGACAACAGAGTGCACACTAATAAGGCGAGTACAACAGGTACCATGGAGGTATAAAGGGGCTCAACGGAGGCAACTGGCTGGACGTCTTGCTGGGGTCTTCCATTCTGCACAGTACTGGGACTAATGCCACCATTGGCAGTTATTAACCTATTTAAGTTCATCAGCTGTTCAGTTAAGTCAGGTATAGAACCATTCTGAATTCTGCTAGAGTTCGGAAGTATTGTCTGATTAACATGAATACTTTCTCTAGCGTTAACATGGATACTTTCTCTAGCGTTAACATGGATACTTTCTCTAGCGTTACCATGGATACTTTCTCTAGCGTTAATATGGATACTTTCTCTAGCATTAACATGAGTATTTTCTCTAGTGTCAACATGAGGACTTTCTCTAGTGTTAATATTAGTACTTTCTTTGTTGTTATCATAAGTACTTTCTTTGTTGTTATCATTAGTACTTTCTTTGTTGTTATCATTAGTACTTTCTGAGGTGTTATCATTAGTACTTTCTGAGGTGTTAACATTAGTACTTTCTGTCTTGTTAACATTAATACTTTCTCTTGCATTAACAATAGTACTTTCTCTGCTGTTGTTGTTTGATGTTGTAGCATTGTCCAGGTCATTGTTGAGTGAGGGAGATGAGTTGATGCAACAAGTCTTATTGGTAACCGCTTCCTCATTACTGTGTAGCTGAGGTGCTAAGACGCTGTGTACTGTTGGGTTCCCAGGTTCTTCTGAGTCTGTAACACAATAATAATTAACAGACACTTAAGACACAAATACGAGCAGTGAAATGTCTTAATGATAGAGAGATGCACCCAGAGTTCCACACGTACCATTAATTTCGTCACCATGTCCGAATAATTTCCCTTTTGGATCACGAGGTGGAAATGATCTCGGGAATGAATTACATTTATCATCTGGTAAGACCTTTCCCACTATATAGTGCAGGCTGGCCGCAATTAAGAGCAACAAACTCACCCTCGTTTGCCGTATTTCACGATGAAAGAATACTACAGTAAAATCCCCCACCCAAATTAAACAGTAAGTCTCTGAGAGCACCAATTTTTTGAAAGGCACAAGAAGACATGCATTAAATAAAAAATTCCTCTCACAGTAATTTGAAAATCCAGCTCATTAAGAACTTTGTGTTTACTGGGAGTCCTGCATCTAGCTGCTACCACTGACTTGCCTCACCAATACGACTGTGTCATTTGTAAACAAAGAATTAGACACTACTTTTTGTCTTTGGCTGTGTTAAGTGTATTTGACCAGGTTATATTTTTGTAAAGCATCACATTAAGTTCCCCAAAAGATAGGAGTTAAGACATTGCCAGCAGTGTCTACCTCTGAACAAAGAATAATTACTGTCAGCCTGGAAACACTGATGTGAAAGTGGTCACACATCTTAATATATTATTACTATTATTAAATGTTAAGCTACAGTATGTTAGGTTAGGGTTATAGGGAACAGAAGGCAGGTCGCTTGCTGTCGCTTAGCATTCAGGGTCAGTTAGTTGTTGGGAAGTGTTTGTCAATGGAGCATCTTAATCTACAGGAAAATCTTGGGGATAAAATCTAAATATATAAACCGCTATTCCTTTATCTGATGTGCTTTAAATTTGAAGGTAAGTTCTACAGATATTTTTTGTTAGGTAGCTCGTCAATTCGTGCTATTGTGCTTAACTATTTCCAAGTAGTCTGGCAAAATATATACAAGATAATCCTGCCCAAATTATCTAGCTTATCCTTACCAAAATAATGGTGTCATATATAAAATCAAGGCGAATATAACCTTAATCTCACTTAACTATCACTCACACCCTGAGTTATCAATCACGTGATAATACTTGACTACAGTTTATTAGGTCCAGTAATGTATCCCAAACCTAGCGTCATGAAACACTATGTCAATGATAACAATTATAAATCTATGAGGTAAAGTTAGGAAAATAAACCCAGGAGTTGTAAGAGAACTGCCCCATAAAGAGTATTGTCATGGTACACCCACCTATGGTTACTATCTTCCCCAGCCCTAACAAAACTCATCCACTCACTCTGTAATTCATCCGTAACTGTAGTGCCATTAGCTGCGTTACTGACACCAAATATCTTCCTCTTCCTCTCCTCGGCATTGTCTAATATCCTCCTCCTCCTCAGCTCACGTCGCCTGGCAGCTTCGTCTGCCATGTTTACAAACTACTTCCCCGGTTCCATCACTCGGGCCCACACACTGTCGCAGTCCCCTCACACCAAACACTTGTAAAGATTTATTTTTTCTTATAATTTAGTTATTAGTTTAAACATAGAGGTAATAATTTATATATATATATTTTTTCTAGGTCGAAAGATATTTATGGAGCAGTAAAATAAACTAAGAAGCTTATTTTTCGTGAAAGTGAGCCCCTAAAGTACTATAAGAATGCTTATATTAATAGATATTTATTTAGGATAATCGCCATACAAGTTCACATTGTTTCAGCATGTATTATACACAGTGTATATATATAATGTGCAGAGAGAGTGAGGTATTAAACAATTGTAAACACTAAGTCGACCAAAGGAAGTAAACTTTAACCAAATCATTTTAAGCTATTTCCATAAACGTCATTTACAGTACTTAGTAGGGTGAGAGACTATTCAGTAACATTAAATGTATAAAAATAAACGTATGATTTGTGGCTACAGGTAACAAGTATTACATTCCTTAGACTATTCTAGACTTATGGATCAGCTTCACATTTATCAGTCAATACGTAATGCGGATATCACTCTTGTCTCTTGCCGGAGCTTCATCAGTTATTTGCTTTTTGATATAATTTTAAAATGTTTGATACGATTATAATTATTAGGTACTTGTTCCAGCCTTTAAGCCGTAAATAAAAACGATATTTGCTTGACTATAGTATACACTAATCACAAGATCACACCCACTAGGACTACCAATGCCTAGACGTTTCACATCCCTATTCCTTATAAAGTCTGTTACAGGATATCTTAAACACAACCACAAGCCGGTGAGTTTGACCAGCATAGTGTGTAATAAATGCCTCCCCCTTGTGATTAATCGAGACTACCGCAGTTTACCCTTCACAAGTTCATTTTCTTTCACTATACTGTATAATTATGTATAATTCCTAGCTAATATTAAGTGTATTAAAGGTCACACAGTGTAATTAATTTAGCTTACATATTAATTATCATCTTAAGTTACCATAATAATCATTAAAATGTATAAAATACCCTATCACCCAAAGCAAGTCACTGGTTATGGGGCATTACAGAAAATTGATATCTGCAATTATAGGGTATCCTTAAACATTTCTTAATAAATTGGTCATTGTACTATATGAAATGCTATATCAATCCTATTTCCTTCACAGGTTATCCTCTCTTCCACCTGTTATTCCAGAGGCACTAAATCCAGTTTTATTTAATTCAGTAATATACTCCAGGTGAGTTTAATGAACAGACTCCAGTGTTGACCCTAATTGTATGCTTTCATGAACACCATATATGTCGCGTAAGGTCACCTACAGATTATATATTTATTCAGTAAAATCGCTATACATTTTTACATTGATTCAGCATGTATACAGCCAATGTATGAATGCATTATATACATAAACAATGCATATATAATAACAGAATATAAGCATACATTTCAGTTGATCTTAGGTGTAAAATATTCTATCAAAAGGTCGATGAACTATGAACTTAGCAGAATTTCCAACAGGGAATAAACAAACAAAACTCATTTACAAACAATTCTAGTTACATAACGCTTAATCAACGAACCAACGCAACGGTACATATACACTAAGACACCAACATCTGTTATCATCTACCACAACTAACATCACATCTCGTTAATTTACCCCCAACTCGAGGTGTAATATTACCTTTTCAACAGTAGTATCGAATTCTCTAAGACACAGAGCACCAAGAAGGTTAATAATGTGGTAAATAACGTACAAGACTAGCCAGAGCATCTAGTGAGGTACCCAAGGCCTCTCTGCATGACTCACACAGACCCTCACCGAATAAGGCAACAACACAAACATTACTAAGGCAAAAATTCATTACTAATCCTAACTTGAGACTTGCCAAGAAGGATTAAATAGAAGTTTTAGGTTATATTTTAGATCTGTGGGACCGGTAGGAAGGGATAGAGGTGAGGTAGGTGGTGATAAATGGGTATTATTGTGGCAGCTGGAGTGGAGAGTTAGCCAGGGAGGGAGAGAGAGAGAGTGAGAGATTCCTGCCCATCCGCTAGTACACCAAGCTCACCTATACCTCCACTTAATGCAGCTTACAGTAAAAATAATAATAATAATAATAATAATAATAATAATAATAATAATAATAATAATAATAATAATAATAATAATAATAATAATAATAATAATAATAATAATAATAATAATAATAATAATAATAATAATAATAATAATAATAATAATAATAATAATAATAATAATAATAATGCCTGGTGTTAATAGTATGTAATTGAACCATTTATATATTTTTATCTATACATTACAGATATTCTAATTAATACTGAATTTTCTAAAACAACTTATTTCAGAAAATGATGACTTTCATTTCGTTGGATCACCTGAATATTGACTGACCATCCTAACTTAACCTAACCATCTTAATCTAACCTAACTTAATTTAACCTAACTTAACCCCTCAGGTAACCCTTGTGTCTAAATCTACAGGTGAAATTGGCTAGCGTGTCTAATCTTCAGGTGATCCACTTCGTGAACCGGTACCAATAACCTCGATAAGTGAAACACACCTGAAGAGTTAAAGCACCTGAGGCGAGGTTAATCACTTATCTCACTTCCTGTGTTAATTACCACAAAGGGCTAAAGGCCACTTACCCAAACAAAGGTACAGAAGTTACAGTCTCGTGTCAACCAGAAACTGTAACTCAACCACTCAACCAAACCCTTAAGGTACAGAAGATAGTCTCACATTAACCAAAAACTGTAGGTTAGGTTAGGTAATTCAACCACTCACCCAAAGTATGATACAGAAATTACAGTCTCGTGTCAACCCAAGGTACAAAAAGTGTCACGTCAACCAGAAACTGTAATTAATGTATTGTTTTGTGAATCCAGACTTACAAAAATACAAAATACAGCAAAAACATGAAATTCTACGAGTTTTTAGTACGTAATCAGCAGGTCATTCTTCTTACCTGTCATGTATGTCATTAAGAGCAGGTAATGTTTAGGATCACCTGAAGATTAGCCCCCTAGCTTATATCACCTGAAGATTAACCACCCTAACGCTAATCTCATCTAACCTAATCCTAACACTAACACTAACCTAACCTAACCTAACCTAACCTAACCTAATCCTAACACTAACCTAACCAAAAGCTATCCTAACCCAATCTAACCTAAGCTAACTTAATATAACACTAACCTCTTGCTTTCCGAACCTAATCTAACGCTAATTAACCTAACCTAACACTAACCTATCAAACAATACACACACACAACACAAGTACACAAACAATACACACACACAACACAGATACACAAACAATAATAAAAGGAAAATCGTCTCATCCAAGGGTAACCACAGTAAAAAAAAAAAGATCTTGTTTCCATTATGGTATCATGACCACAACACCCACACCAACACACCATTTTGGGGACTGACTGACCGACTGACTGAATGACTGACTGACTGACTGACTGACTGAATGGCACAAAATTAATAACAGATATACCAATGAAAGAGTATATTAAAGAGGTATAATAAGAGGGAATATAGGATTTACAGGTTCATGGGGTTTACAGATTTACAGATTTATGGGATTTACAGATTTATGGGATTTACAAATTTACAGATTTATGGGATTTATAGATTTACAGATTTATGGGATTTACAGATTTACAGATTTATGGGATTTATAGATATACAGATTTATGGGATTTACAGATTTATGGGATTTACAAATTTACAGATTTATGGGATTTATAGATTTACAGATTTATGGGATTTACAGATTTACAGATTTATGGGATTTATAGATTTACAGATTTATGGGATTTACAGATTTATGGGATTTACAAATTTACAGATTTATGGATTTATAGATTAATGGGATAAGTCGTCTTATTTTACTGTTTCTCTCTGGTCAACGGATGATAGATTTAATGTAATGATGATGATGATGATGATGATGATGATGATGATGATGATGATGATGATGAGGAGGAGGAGGAGGAGGAGGAGGATTATATTGATATTCATTCAGTAAACAGACAGACAGAACACAAACAAACAGATAGAAAGACAACACACACACACACACGCACACACACACACACAAGGCACACACACACACGCGCAGAAACACAGGCAAAGAGAGAGAGAGGAGAAGCGAGTAAACAGATAAAACAGGTGACCAAGAGAGAAAGTGACGGTGGTAATATTGAGAATGTTTCCCTCGGTACTAACTACTCCGCCATTGGTTGACGATGGTGGTAGTGGTGGTTGGCAATAGTGATAGTTGTGGTTGACGATGGTGGTAATGGTGGTTGGCATTGGTGATAGTTGTGGTTGACGATGGTGGTAATGGTGGTTGGCATTGGTGTTAGTTGTGGTAGGTGACGGTGATAGTGGTGTCAGGGGGTAGACTCGACCCTGTGTACTGGTAGTGGTGGTGGTGTGTGGTGACCAGATAGCAGCATTAGGAGTGAAATCAACCCAGAGTGTAGGTGGTGGTGGTGATGGTGGTGGTGGAGGGTCATAGTGTGGCTGAGGGTGGTGTGGTGGAGGGTGTAGGAGAGAGAGTCACACCTTACACTACCTATTAATGATCCACGATAGAGAGTGTCACATCACGTGCTCCAAATTGGCCCCTTACTGTCTGTGAAGCGTGTGTGTGTGTGTGTGTGTGTGTGTGTGTGTGTTCACTGTACATAACAAGGTTGGCTTATGTAATGATATCAATTATGTACGTCAAGTAATTAACACACCTGGTGGTTTTATAGAGCACCACAACACCTGTGATATAATACCTGTACACGGACATTATTATTATTATTATTATTATTATTATTATTATTATTATTATTATTATTATTACTATTATTATTATTATTATTACATATTTTTCCTGAATCTTTAATAAACTTCTAAGATCAATAAGTTTAACAGGTAAATATTAAGGTCACTGATATTTAGGAAGGGACAAAGACCTTTATAATTGAG